CGACCGATTAATCGGCATCCGCTAGTATCGGCACAAAATTGAGCATGGGCATCGGCCTTTTTTTTGCCGATTCTTTGAAATTTATTTTCATATTTTCAGGCAAAGCGACAGACAACAGCCAACATCAATCAAATTATAGTTTAAAAAACTAAAACCTCCCTATTATAATTGCCATTCGTACTGTCATCAGGTATGTAACTTGAGAATAGAAATCGCTGCATCTTTTAGGCGCATCAATATTACATAGTTACATCCCGAGCTAATAAAAGGAAGGTAAAAAACATTTGCAGACAGCTCACAAAAACAATTTTATTTTTTATGAAGGTGTTTAATAGGCGGCATACACCGTGCGTCTGACTCATGAGTCGGTTTGGATGTGTTTGTGAAAATAAATAGGTTCATTCCTTATCTTTTTGGACTAAAATCTGAAAAGTGTCAAAATGCCAGAGCGTAAGCAAAATGCGCTCACTAAAAGAGAATAACAGGAAAAGTAAAGGAACGCAAAAAGCCAAATTTTTAGTCCAAAGAATGGCAAAAACAAAACTAACGTCAAATAAGAACAGAAATGTATGTACAAAACATATTCACACAAGCACAAGCACAATAAACACTTGCTATATCAATTATTTTTTGCCTCCTTCCAATTTCAATTCATGTCTTTTACTTTTTAGATTATTCTCACTTTTAGCGTATTCTTTAATTTCCGTTAATTTAAATTCAGTTGAGTTTGACACTTTTCAGGATTTTGTCAGAAAAAATTCTTCTGACTAAATCTGCCCACGATTGAGAGAATACAAAGGTTGCGCCGATCTCGGACCGCTATTCCTCTCTTAACGAATTTGACAGAATCGTTGTTTGCATGACGTCACACTGGTGCAACTTGTTTACGTTTTCCTTGCAACATTTTTTCTTCTTCTTCCATTCTTGCTCACGTTTTGGCATTTCTCTCTCGCAATTGCACCAGTGTGACGTCACACACAAGTTATTCTCAAAAATCCTCTCCGATCGGCGCAATCTTGTATTCTATCATTCTTGAAATCTGCCTACTTCGGACTGATGAGAGTCACTCTCACTGACTGTTGCTCTCTCATTTTTGCTGTCATTTCCGAGTTAAGGAACGCTTTTTGGACTAAATCTGACTACTTCGGACTTTTTCTGACTATTTCTGGGAGATAAGGAACGCTCCTAATATGTGTTAGTTACACCGACATGGCTCCTGGCATGACTCTGAATGATTCAACTGTGTGTAGCCGAAGGCGAGTCAACACGTACGCCTTAAGGTTTTTTTCATACAAAGGTATGTTCGTCAATCTTCTTTTATATGGAGGACACTGCCAGCAACAAAAGAGATCGACAAAAATTAACGGGATTTTATAGCAGCTTGAAACTTGCACTTCATTGTATTAGAATTAAATGGTCTACAAAACTGCATACCGAAATTCTGTCGAAAAAGTTTGAAATTTTGGTGAAAATAAGCAGAATTTTTTTTAATTTTTGTTCATAGTTTGAAATCTGAATTTATATGGTGTTTGTTGTGGGTACCAGCTAGACTTTTATAAAAAAATAATAAACATTAAATAAACAAAAGACAAGTGCCAAATGCCAAAACTGGTCAAAATATCGCAATTCTTTAATTTTATGGACCTTAATATTACGTAAACTGAGTTTAAATTGAGCAGCTGGCTGACATTTGATTGGCTAATCTTACTTTAAACCAGCCAGCTCGGGCGCTTAAACTTAAGTTTAAATCACAGCAGTGCAATGAAAAACTGGCCCTAAGTTAGAAATATGTGTGTGTTTACAGTTTTCCCATTGTTATTGAATAAAAAGAACATAAAAGTATCATCCATAAATTCGGATCCAGTTTCGTAGTAGAAGTCTAGATGTGAAGTGATGCCACATATGTTTTCGCCACCGGTATTTCTTTATTTTAGAAACAATATATTCTTATGTCATCTTGTAGTATGTACATATGTACGTAATAGCGTTCTTTTTCTTTTACAAATAAACTACCAAATCATTTTAATACGATTGTTTTATTTGTTTAAAAATATAAATATTTTTTCACATAAAAAAAAATCTTAAGTTCGGGCTTAACTGAACGCTGGATAGCCGGTCCAATTATTAAATATAGTTTTTTTTTTGGTAAGCAGGGGTGGTTCATCTCTATTTTAAACATCTGCGATGTACTTATATATAGGCGATATCACGCCCATTTTCCAAAATACCATAATAATCGGCCCTATTCTGTATTTCGACTCGAATCGAAATTTGCTCCGGTTGGCAACTTTGGTATTCTGCGTTCCGTTTCGTTTCGATCAATCTTCGAAATTTACGATTGTACCTATTCTACATTTCGCTCGTAGTTACGTTTTTCTAAGTTGCAATTTTGCTGACGGAGAACGTTTCGATTGTTATTTTCGTGGGTTTAAAAATTAAAAAAAAAGTCAAATGAATTTTCTCGATTTCTGTACAAAAAATTGGCTCAAATAATGGCAACCAAAAGGAATATTGCGCGACGTTTTCAAAGTGGAAGTCCAGGCGTTTTTGTTTACATTATCTATAAATAAGACTGTGAAATGCACTGAATACAATTGTTTCTTTTTATATAAAATTAATAGATGTATGCACAGAGATACATACATACATAAAATGTTTACATAAAAAAAATGCTTTTATTATAGCACTCGTTTTTACTAACTTTTTAAAAAGGCGGGTGCGTATGTTGTCTCGAATTCGATTTGCTATGGAAAGATAAGCTTTGTTCTTCCCCTCCTCCTGACGGCTTTCAAAACGGGATTCATTTGCGTTCAAATCTTCCACTCTGTAGTAAATGCAAATGTTGTGGAGTGCTCAAACAAAGTTTATAATTTCACTGACTTTGAGCGATGAGTAATACAGTTCAAGATGAATTTCTTATGACTTCCCTTATCTGAAAAAGATCAAACATGTCCCTAAATCTCCGCCTTTCAACTTCCGCATCAGCAATCTGGGACTCGTGCTCCTCTTCAAGCAATAACGCCGCGGCTAAGGATTTCGTTCTTATAATTATGTTTCCACTTAATTAAGAGGCAAACGAAATTTTATTTTTAATTACAGTGATGCTAGATATATTTAGTTATTTTAAAATATTTACAAACTTTAACCATATGCTGCTATAGTTTTGTGGCAAATATTTCTTTGTTTTGTTTCGATTTCACACATTCCTAGGCAAACAGCAGATTTCGATCGTAACGCAGAATACCTAAGTTCGATTCCAGCGGAGCGGAATGCGGGAACGTAATCGAAATGCAGAATAGGGCTGAGTATTTCTGAAATTTACCGTTGAATAAAAAGTTGGCGTAAATTTAATCCGATTTCAATAATTTTGAGCGTTTTCTTGCTCGCCCATTTTCCAAAAATTTATAATATTCTTAATTTCCGTCTAAAAATCATTGTGAATATCAATTTTGAGTGAATAGGCTTAGTAGTTACTAAAATATCGCAGTTTTCGTATTTCTGAAAACTACCGTTATGTGGGAGGTAAGCGTGGTTATTGTCCGATTTTGCCGTTGTACGTTCAGTTAGACTTATACTAGGTTCACATATAAATAAATTATCCTCATTTTCGAGCTTAACACCCTAATCTGTAATTATAACAAGAGATTGGCCATATAAAATTCGTCCCTTAATCTGTAATTATAAAATAATCTCAGATTTAGCCGATAACTTTTCGGTGTCCATCCTAGTTTTATCGATTGTTTTTGCGAAAGAGAGGAGAAATGCCAAATGTAAAAGTAAAAAAAATCATGATGCAATAATACAAGGTGGTATCAGTTGTGACAGCTCGATTCGACACTGCTTTAGCTCAGTAGAATAAGAAGAAAAGGGGAAGAAATGAATCCCCATATGGGGGAAAAATATAAAATTTAACATTTTCTCCTAAACAAGATTTGCCTTTTTATAGTATATTCGTTATGAAATGAAATAAAATAAATACCTTTTTAAGAAAACAAAGTGTATATACTGAGAAAAAATTAAAAACATTCAACTATATTAATGGGCAAAGAATAGTTAAAGAAGTAACACTGTTTCACGTAAGGCAGTCAATATGGCGGAATTAGAGCGACTGATAACACCTTGTATTATTGCATCATGAACAAAAATGTACGCTAGCAAGTAAAAGAGGTTTGTAAAGGTATTTTTAATAAAATGTTAAGTTAAAATATATTTATATTGCCTATTATAGCAGAAAACCGTGATCACGGTGGCACAGAGAAGAAACATAACTTTTCCTTGAGATGTGAGAATAACAAGCACAACAAATTTGACGGCTAATAATCTGAGATTTGCCTGTGTAAACGGGGTGATTAAAAAACGAGCTTTGATTGAGATAATATTGATATGTGAACATAGTTTTATTGAGATAAACACCCATATTTTGAGTGTCGACTAGTAGTAGATAAACGATTATTGGTCGATTATCCTTGGTATTTCCACCGTCGGTTCCTCGTTCAATTAGTTAGTGTGAATAGTTTTTAGTCGCTCATCCTTCTAAAAAGAAACAATTTTGTGGTATTCACAAAACCATGGAAATGGAATTGGTTCTTGGTTGCCCTGGGTTACCCAACAGCTACGACTTGTGAACGCGCCCATTGAATCATGGATTTGGATAAGGAAATAGTGTCTGTCAACTCTTTGTCATTTTTTGACATCTGACATACTGTCAGCAGTTGTCATTTCTTTTTAAAGTTATTCACAATTTTTCTTTCTGAAAAAATAGAATATTTGTTAATTTGCCCAGTTTTGCTAATACATAATTGANCTATTTTGAGTGTCGACTAGTAGTAGATAAACGATTATTGGTCGATTATCCTTGGTATTTCCACCATCGCTTCCTCGTTCAATTAGTTAGTGTGAATAGTTTTTAGTCGCTCATCCTTCTAAAAAGAAACCATTTTGTGGTATTCACAAAACCATGGAAATGGAATTGGTTCTAGGTTGCCCTGGGTTATCCAACAGCTACGACTTGTGAACGCGCCCATTGAATTATGGATTTGGATAAGGAAATAGTGCCTGTCAACGCTGTCATTTTTTGACATCTGACATACTGTCAGCAGTTGTCATTTCTTTTTAAAGTTATTCGCAATTTTTCTTTCTGAAAAAAATAGAATATTTGTTAATTTGCCCAGTTTTGCTAATACATAATTGAAAATAAAAAAAAAATCGAATCGGAAAAGGGGACAGCGTCACTCCTAATGTAATTCTCTAAAGGTACATATTTATAAATAAAATGTCCATATCAAAAAAGAACACAACTAATTGACCATCAAGTGTTATCTGTGTATATATTTACACATCCATTCATACATGTTTTTAAATCAAAATATTTTAGGTTGAAAATGTCCAACTTTAACTATATCGACAGAGTTCCTGTTAAAATAGCAGAGAACTTTAAGCCACCGCCAAGATTATATCAACTGCCACTGGTCATAGTGCATAAATTACAATTACCAGCAAACCATTACAATGATGCGCCGCAATATTCGTATGATTTTCAGCTGGAACGGAAGGTACTTACCAAAATGCCCGAATGGCGACGTATGCGACAACTAGAGCGTGAAGCACGTAGAGATCGGAAAGAGCGCCGGGAACGGGAAAAGTTGCATGAATTAGAGTCGAAAAATAAGCAGATGCTGGGAGCTGTAAGTTATCCCAGTGCTGATGATCTGTCTAGTTCTGATAGTGACTCAGAAGAGCAAAAAGACGATAAGCAAATAAATGTTGCAAATAGTCCTGATCTAGAGCAAACATCGGTTTTACGTACCCAAATCAGTAGCTTTCACAATATACTGCAACCTACAATTTTATCCATAGGGGATGAGAAATTTCAAATACCAAATGGTTTATCAGTTGAAGGTTTGCAATCACATCCCAAAAATGGAAAGTATTCGGGCGGCTCCAAGGAGGTCAATGCATTTAACTATAAAGACTTTGAAGAAGACACATCGTCACCTTTCGATAATATTGAACTTAAAACAATTAATGATTTGGATATTTTAGCACAAGTGCTGCATAATACGCAGCTGCATACGCAAAAAAATCCAATTAAAGATGAATTATCGGAAAAGTCGCCAGAAGAGGAACCTAAGGAAATTGAAGTAGATAGTATTAAATCCCAGCTAGAATCCAAAGAGAATACTCGTAATACTAATGTATATAAAATAATATCGAACTCAAAAGACAACTTGCCACAGGATAGGGACTTTGAAGGTTTAGAAAATAACAAGACGTCGCTACAAAGAGTCAGTTTTGAAAATTATGGACAGCAAGGTTGGTGCGATGTAAACATTCCAAATGCAATCATAACCAACAATAGCATTACTAGTACTGCAAATTTTATTGGTAATCATTGCAACATATCGACGTGTACGTCTTTTGCTCCATCAAATCAGCAAGAATCTACCCAGCAACAATCCTATTCAATGGCTTATGGTACACTTTATAATAGCCATGTGGAGCCACAATTATCACAGCATTATACAAATTTGAATGTTCACTCAACACATTGCACCCCCGCGACATCCGGTAATCAAAATTATTTTTATGCACCCGCCTACAATGGCATCTCTTCCGAATATTGCAGTCCCAGGCATATGCAGCAACATAGCACGAATGTAAATTCTACATATTTGAGCAGCAACATAAATAACTACGGAAGTTCGACATCTGTCAGCAATGGTATACACTTGCAGCAACATCAACAACTTCAGCCAACGAATGAATATAACGAATTAAATTCAAAGTCGAAGAGCGTGCCAGATATATTAAAGGAGTTAAGCGATGAAGTGCGAAATTCGGAAATTCGCAGATCTCGTTACTACAGTTTCAACTCTGAAGAAGGAAAACAAAATGATGAAAAGCAAGATGTGGATGAAGGTATTTTGTTACATTTACCTACATATTCATGAATCCGGGATTAATTTTTATATAACATAGATATAACCCCGAAGCAGTCGCCAGTGAAAGTACCTAAAAGTTCACACGATACAAATTATTATGCCGAATTGTCACCAGCTGCGCAGAGATTAGTTAAAAATATAAGCTCAATGGGATTTCCACTACAACGTGTGGCAAAGATTTCACAAGTTTTCGGTACAGATGACAAGAAGGTTAGAGACTGTTTCCAGTCGAATGTGTGAAACAACAATCAATTTATTCCTTAATTCGGAACACCTAACTTTTATTCAGATCTTTAAAGTAGTCATACGCATTTTATTTCTATTGTAGATCGTTGAACATTTAATACCGCTGAGTGAGCTAATGGATCTGGGCTTTGATGAAGCAAAAATCTCAGAGGCGCTGATAAAATTCGATAATAATAAGGAAAAAGCCTTGGAGTATTTAATTTCATAATTGTGTCCAAACGAGTCGTATAATGCATCTAGACATTTACGTATATTAGTATCATCACATTGTGTATGCATGTATTATTCTTAGATAAAACAGTTATCATATAGCATATATGTATATATTATATTATTTTTGTGCAAATAATAACGAACCTCGGAAGAATTTCAAAACCACACTTGATACATTTTTATAAACCGCGGTGCAAGAGATGTAGGAAACAAGTATGTAGAAAATATGCAGATTATCAATTGTAATATCAACAAGTATTTTACTTAAAATATTCCATAAAAAGCAAACAAATTAAAACCTTGTATTTTTACAGAAGACGGTAACACATGTAAAAATTAAAAGTTCATTTATTAACGCTACAAAAATTGCAAATGTAATTGAGAATTCCTACAAATAAATATAAATCAAGAAAATAGTGATACATACGTATTGTATGTTCGTATGTATATTTTTTAGTTAACTTAGATCATAATATATCATGCAAATGTGCAACAGATATGAACAACACAATTCCTAAAGAATTTGAAATGGCATTGCTTATTTCGTCCGTCTTGTGATGCTGCCGACTTTTAGAAGTTCTCTTAATAATTTTTATATTACGCACTTTGATCTCATCTTGGTATCTGCTATTAATTCATTGCTCCCATTAGGAGATTCACAGCAACATCTATATTTCCACTTGCTATGGTCAAATAGACTAAATTGTCCTCATAATTGACCAATCCCATTTGTGCCATAGTGCGCAGTTCGTTGGCGTATTGATGTGTGCGGTACTGTGATGGCAGATCGTCACTTTCATCGCCGGCGCCATTATCTGCGGTTGTTGATTCTGTTGTATCCATTTGATGTGTTTCCGCGTTTTGGCTAGTATTGCTAACGCCGGAACCGCCCACTTGGTTGCTACGTTGACTCAACGATTCTAATGCACGCTGCAATTCTGTACGAAACATAGCTGACGAAATCCGTTCACCACTAGCTGAGTTTGACAGCGGTGCAGATGTGGCAGCAGTCGCGTCTGGTGTTGCTGCCGTGCCTGATGTACTATTAGCATCACTATTCCTTTGGGCAATGTTGGAAAGGGAATTTACCGAACCGACACCAATCCGTGCTAGTGCTGCTTGCAATTGTTGACGGCTTATCATGCGTATACGTGCATTTTCCGATTGGGAGCCAGACTCTGATCGCTCGTTACTTGTGCTAGCGCCCAATGAATTTTCCTCTTCAGAAGAATTTGTTGAGTCAGTAGCTGGTTCTGAAACTGTAATCCAAAAATAATGCACATTAATTAAATAAAATGAATTAAGAGGATATGGGCTCGTTACGTGTGGTAGAAGAACTCCTTGCCAATTCCTTTTTAATAGTGTCAACCATGAACGGAGCAGCCTCACATAT